AGCCCCCAGGCTCAGCTGAGCTGCGGCAGCCAGCAGCTCAGCTCTGGGTCCTTGCTTCCCCCTCTCTAGTTCTGCTTAACTCAGCCTCCGTCGTGAGGCACCGAACACCCCTTCCCTCTCTCAGGACCCTTCCCAACTTGCTCCTCCTGCCTGTGTCTGTCTGCCCCCCCCATCAGTCTTACCCTGAGCCTCCGCCTCCATTGCATGCGACTGGGTGGAATTATATGTTCCTTGGGGCAGGGTCTGGCTTGCTGAATGTTCGCAAAGCCCCATATGCAACTATGGCCCAATGGGAACAACAGGCAGGACAGGAACTTGGTGTGATCCCAAAGCAGGGCTCCTGGGGCTGGCCTAGACAGGTGGGTCTGCCTCTCAACTGCAAGCCAGGAAGGGTCAGGTCACAGGGTGTCATGGGTGAGCATGCCATGGCACACGTGTGAGATGCGTGTTCACGGCGGGGGGAAGCACACGCCGCATCTGGGCCCCGGTCCGCGGTTGCTCTGCTGCGCTCACACCTACCTTGTAATAGCTGTCGTCCGCAGCCAGAGCCTTGGAGAGGCCGAAGTCGCTGATCTTGGCATAATGCTGGTTGACCAGCAGGACGTTTCTGGCAGCCAGGTCTCTGTGGACAAAGTTTTTCTCCTCCAAATACTTCATCCCGATGGCCACCTGGTGCATCAGCTCCACAACGTTGCTCACTGGGATCTCGTCTCTGGAACAAGGGGAAAGGGGCTGATACAGCGAGAAATCCCTGGACAAGCAGGAGCTGTCGCAGCCGCAGCAAGCAGAGATGCTGGACACAGAACTGGAGTAGAGGGGGAAGCAAGGACCCACAGCTGACTTGCTGGCAGCTGCAGCTCAGCTGAGCCTGGGGGGTAAGAAGGGGCTTGAAATACGCACAAGGGGAGGGCACCAGATTGGAGCGGCGAGGGGTGCCGGGGTGGGGCTGCAGGTTAGTTTCACTGCAGCCACATGGAGCTGCAGGACAAGGGGGGAGGGAAGCAGAGCAGCCA